CTGAGAACAAAAAAGAATAAAACATACCGATTAAAAATTATATCAATTATTTTCTCATAATTGGATTTTAAGGTATATCAAGGTATATGATTGGATGATGAGTATGTGGCGGCAATGAGATGTATAGGAAGGGATGAAATAGACAATAAATATCGCGAATTAATGTTTTAAATAGATCATTGGTAAATTTTCTATTAATCGTCGTATCGAAAAGTGGCCGGTTTTCGTAAAGAGATTTGAAAATATTTTTTTTTTTTTTTTTAATGAACAAAAGCTCTCATTATATTATAACATTATATTACATATTATATATATATATATATATATATATATATATATATATATGTATGTACGTAGGTAAGTACGTACGTATACGCGTTTGGATTCTTTTGAAGTGGCTCGTTAAGGTGCTCCTACTCGAAGAGAGAGAACCTATGAGAGATCGTACGAAAAGTAGCCATGCCCCGTAGCAATACCCATAACCATAAATAATGACCATTGATTGGTCACTCGTCGATCGTTACTCGAGTGTACGTGACTGCGTTTACGTTTCCACGGGTCGTTAACTCGTTTCCATTAAGGCGCGGTCTTGTCTCTCTCTCTCTCTCTCTCTTTGTACATATATATATATATATATATATATATATATATATATAATTCTTTTTCCTCCTACAATTCTCTTTCTCTTTCTATATATATATATATTTTTTTTTCTCAATTCAATTTCCTTTCGAACAAGATTGGCGAATTTAACGTTGTCCGAACTAAATTCTCAAAACTTTAATACCCGATAATCGAAAAATTAACGAGTGGTAGACCAGCTCGATAAGAAATCGTATAAATGTATCTACGTATGCATGTATGTATGTATGTATGTATCTATGTATGTATGCATTTATGTCTAACGTACGTGTGTATGGTGTGCGTTAATTCGATGTGGAATGCGCGGTTTAAATTTAGAATAAGCCTCAGCAATTTGCTCTTTCCTTTACTCCTTGATGTTCCTTTACTTCTTTCTTTCTTTTTATATGTATATATATATATATGCGCGTGTATGTGTGCGTATGTGTGTGTGTGTGTGTGAGAGAGAGAGAGAGAGACAATATGTGTGTAAGTATATGTGCGCGTGTGTGTTCGTTTTTTTCTCTCCCTTTTTTTCCTTTCTTTTTTCTTACTTTATCCTTTTTTTTTTCTTTCTTTCTTTCTTTCAATTAGACCTACCCCAAATAGTAAAGGAAATTATCTACGCGGTTAAAAGGCAAGATAAATAGCGAACAACACGTGTTTCTCAATAAAAATGGCGAAATAATTGCTCCGAGTTTAACGGAAAATTTCAGTTTAGCGAATTGTTCCTTCGTAATAAATTAAATCCCGCATACTACTTGTCCATAAGATCGAATAATGTTATTTCTACATACGAACTTTCTTTTCTCGTGAAAGTCAAAACTCTCGCAAATATATTTATCTCGCAAATATATTATCTTCTTTGACGTAATATTTTCCATTGACGTTTCCGCGACGAAAGAAAATTAATTTTTCAATTTTAAATTTGCCGCCGTTTAGATCGCGTTAAATGATTTTAATCAAAGATGTCGGATGATCATACTTTCTCTTTCTCTCTCTCTCTTTCTCTCTCTCTCTCTCTCTCTCTCTGTCTCTCTCTCTTTCTATTTTTCTCCATTATAACTAATACAATAATAAATTGTTGAATAATGAAAAATTTTGTAAAAGCTAATACCAAATATTAGAATTTATTATAAGAAAATAGAAACGATTTCTCTCGATATAGGTTAGAAGGATGGATCGATAAAGAAGAACGCGGAGATCGTTTAGAAGTGATCTATGATGATGGTCCAGTTTTCGCGACATGTTTTTATCTCTCACTCGCGTGGAAAGCCGTCGTATAAGCCCATTAACCTTGATGCCAGATCCCATAGAATCTTCTCGCTCCTCTCGTCATGTTAAACCGCACGTATATACGTAACTATACAGATATATATACACCGAGAGAATGTCAATGTCTTTCGTCATACTAAATATTATTATACGAAACGATGCGATTATTTTCTTATATATATATATTAGATATATTGTATAAGTATATCAGATATATTTTATGTACATATATATATATATATATATATAATGTATATATGTATGTATGTATGTATGTAAGGTCGATGTCTAGTCATGACAATCAATTTCAACTCGATAGTAAAAACAATTGGCGTATAATTTTTTGCGAGGCGCTTAATTCTTTTTCTTTTTTTTTTTCTCTCTCTCTCTCTTTTTTTTTCACTTCCCACAACGGAGAACAAATCGTCTCTCATGCATTATGCCTTTTCCCACTTATAAAGTCTTATTTTGATTAATGATACCTATGTACATAATTTCTTTCTAAGGATCATTAATTATTTCATTACGCTGGTTAATTTTCACGTTTATCTCGACGACAAACACTCCTTTTCTTTTCTCCTTTTTCCTTTTTTTTTTTTTCTTTTTGCCATGTTTACTTATTTATTTGTTTTTTTCTTTTTTTTTTTTGCAACTTGTTGACCCTCGTCTGCACGTCCATTTTTTTCTCTCTTTTTTTTCTTCTCTCTCTCTTTTTATTGTTGTTGTTGTTGTTGTTGTTTTTTTTCTTTTCAAAGGAAAAAAATACGGAGAAGAAAGAAAAGCGACAATGTTAATTATCATTTTCTAATGGATAAACATTCCGATCGTCGTTCAACAATTTGTCGAGTAATTTCTTATTGATTTTCAATTTTATTAGGTTAACAACGGTTAATTTTCATGGAGGGAAAAAAAAAGAGGAGAAAAAAAGAAAAAAGGATTATCCCTAATAAGGTTATGTTCATTGGTCTGACTTCTTTATGGGTTACTGCGTTCACACGAAGTAATGATTTACCTTAAACCACCGCTAGATGTTAGCACCATACGAATCCCGAGTAGCTAAGGTAACATTCGACTACCCCTTTCGTCTCTCCGCACAGCCACCCCAACCCTTCATCCACCATCCCACAAGCATAATCCTCTTTCCTTATTTTTCTATTTTTTTTTTATTGTAATATTCAAATTCTATTGTTTCCTTTATTGATCATTCTCGACGTACAATTATGAGATAATCGAAAAATTTCATATTATCTTAGTGTTTTTACGTAAGGTTAGTTTTATTTTTTTTCTTTTCTTTTTTTTTTTACATAGAAATTCGCATTAAATTATCGTCACAACGTTAATTCGTTCAAACGACAAGAATGATTAGGATGAAAATTCGAATAGACATTTTTGACTAAAAAATATGCGTTTGAACGCATTTTTATGAGATAGTATTACGATTGAAATAATTTCTTTTTTTTGTGTTTCTGTTTTTTCCTTTTTTTTTTTTTCGTAAATATTATAAGTAATTATCAAAGCTTAGAAATTCAAATGATCTACGATAAATTTTCGATTTTGTAATTTATTTTTTTATAAAGCTCGCAAAGTGAAAAATAAAATTTGATGATTATTAAGAAATAATATTGATGATTCAAGGAAATTGTGATTGATTTTAAGCAAAAACAAAGAAAAAGAAAAAAAAAGGAAAAAGAAAACAGAGAATATTAAAGAAGATTCGAAAGGTTTTTTGTTTTTTTATTATCGTTCGTTATATGAATCGATCTTCGACGATTACGTAGATTCCAAAATTCATGATGTTGTTCGCGTAATCTTGTGTAAGAGAAAAAGGGGGAAAAAAAAGAAAAAGAAAAAGGAACGAAAAAGGAAAAGAAAAAAATAAAAGAAAAAAACAAACCGAAAGAAAAAGTTGAAATTGAAAGTCCTATTTTCTATTTCCCGAAGGAAAGAGAAAAAAGAAATAAAAAATGAGAATTATCTCCGTCCGCATCTACGGATTACTTTCTTTTAAAAATTGACATTTTCTTTTTTCTTATATATATATATATATATATATATATATATATATATATATATATATATATTTATAATTTAGTATCTATGTTCGATATGCAGTAGCGAATGATAGAATTAACATAAGATTAACTATGATGATAATTATAGAGTATACTTTTCATCGGCACACGTAACTGTGTGTAACGAGCGTGAAATCGGAAAATCGCATTTATGTATATAAGTTGTCTGGAAACGAAAGTAAATAAGTAAATAATACATACTTCGTTAAAAGGCGAGTCTCGCCTTCTCCCACCTTTTTCTCTCTCTCTCTTTCTCTCTCTCTCTCTCTCTCTCTCTCTCTCTTTCTCTCTCACGCACATTCACTTTCTCTCTTTCTATCCTTCCTACTCGAGCGCCATTTTGTCGACCGTGCGTGTATCATTACGCAGGCGAACGCACCGGGTAAACTTCGAGGAGCGAATAATAATTATTTTCACATTTCCAAGTTTCCCCCTCTGTGAGATAGTTAACGTCGCTTTTAAAGATGTTTTCTCGCTGGCAAAGACAGGTGGCGAGGAGAGTGAGAAGATAGGTGGGAGGAGGGCTCGAGGGGTCAGGGGGAGAGGAGAGGGAGGGGACCAAGACATCGTGTAATTACGCGTTCGCTCTTATTATACGATTAATATAACTTGCTGCTGTTAATAAATATAGTATATATATATATATATATATATATATATATATATATATATACAGGTATAACACAGACACATATACACACGCGCATATATTTACGTTAGATGCATGTAAGTTTGTAACGTGCGTGTAGAAAAGTTTAGCAAAGTGGAGGACGATATAGGTCGGATAGGGTATCTTCTTCGTCGAGTTACAAGTTTTCTATTAATGTGCGTGCGTTTTACTTACGTATACATATTTCTCTGTGTTCTGTGCTCATTTTTGTATTTGTATGTACATGTAGGTTGATAGGTAGATAGGTAGATAGGTAGGTAGGTAGGTAGGTAGGTAGGTAGGTAGGTAGGTAGGTAGGTAGATAGGTGAATGTGTGTATGTGTGTGTGTGTGTGTGTTGTCTTTTTGTGTGCGTGTGCCGCG